GCTGGTATGGGCCCGCAGAAACGACCCCGCGTTTCCGAGGAGAATCGCAAACGAGCCGTGCGAGCGTAAGATGATTATATTCTTCTGTCAGGGTCTTTTGTCTCCTTACTCACTGTACCCAATTTCCAGCTGTGATGGTTGTCGCCGAGTGAAGGAAAAATGCGAAGGAGGCGTTCCGTGTCGCCGATGTCTCCGCTATCAGCGACAATGCGTCTTTACTCATCCCGACCATGCGGAGAAGATCGCCCGGTCCTCCTCCATCTCGTAAGGCCACCAACTCCTCTCATCTTGGGTGTCTCAGATCTTCGAAACTCTAGATTCATTAATGGCAGTGACTAATACAGCTACCTATCTAGACTACTCGAACGAAGCACAGCTCTCAGAGGACATGACATCGCCGAGTCGGAGCGTGTCCGATGTATGGAGCGCATCCTCCAGCATTATGTCCCCAACATCTCCTTCGATGTTCATACCTTGCGAAAGATGGCTGAAGAGTTGAAACACAAACATCGAGGCTCTGGCACAGAGGCATCTTCAACGCAGCTTGACGGCGAGGACCTGGAAGACTTGGCAATTGACGACGAGGACTTCACCATCAAGGCTCTGCCGGATAATACTACACGTGGGTGCTCTGGGCTTCTTTTCGGACTGTACTTCGGTGGTCTGACTCTTTCTCTAGAATACTCTGGAGAATTCTCGTACCTCAACTTCTCTATGAAGATTCGACAGAAGATCGACGAATGGATGAAACATGCTGGGACAGAGGTTTGCAGCTAGTGATCGCTCACTGTGAACTACCCGCTTACTTCTTTCAGGCATCAACGGAGACAGAGCCATTTGAAGAGCGCTGGCGGGCAACCCAACTACAGTCCGGATCGACCCTAGTATCAACATCAGTGACCTGCCTTCCACCTCGGTTTGTGGCAGACTTCCTGGTGCAGATCTTCTTCAAGTATGCGCAGACGAACAATTTCTACGTCGAAGAAGACTGGTTGAAGGATAAGCTAAATATATGCTACACGGACCCTTCGAGCCTCTCTTCTAAGGACGCGGGCACGGTATGTGCTATCCTGATGGTACTGGCGGTGGGCACTCAGTTCGCGCACATGGAATCAGCCACACCTGTCAACCGCCTGTCCTCGAATTCCGCCTTCGCCGACGATCACCACTTCTCCGAAGATGATGTTGGTCTTACCTTTTATCAATTTGCATCGAAACTGCTTCCCGACATCATTGCCACAGCGTCCGTTCGAAGCGTCCAGGCTTGTCTTCTGATCGGTACCTATCTTCTGCCACTAGATACGTCGGGTCTATGCTATACGTACTTTGGTCTAGCTCTGAAAATGGCCATTCAAAATGGCATGCACCGGAAGTACTCGGGTGAGGGAATGTCACCTCGTATGGTGGAGATCCGCAATCGTGTCTTCTGGACGGCATACACGATAGAGAAGTAGGTGGTCATCCCAACGTTTCAGCTTCGTGATAAGTACTGACACTCTCTAGGCGCGTCAGCATTCTTCATGGGCGACCGGTATCGCTATCTGACGCGGATGTAGACGCTCCCTTTCCTACTGACTTTCCAGGATTGACTCCTTCTGGACATGTAGCAAATGACACAAACATGGTGACGCTCATCAAGTTGACCTTGAAACTTGGCCAAGTTGCCAACGAAATGTACGTTACGCGGTCACCGAGCAGCTTACATATAGCTAACACAGAGCCAGATCTATTCTGCGCAAATCGCGAAAGAACCAACAATCGGATTGTCTGGAACGGTTACTGAACCTTCGGAAATGCTTGGTTGATTGGTGGTCAACGTTGCCGGAGGAAACCAATTGCCGGGATCTCAACCCGTCTGGTCCTCTCTTTCGCTCCAATGTGCATCTCAAGCTGGATTATTGTCTGACTCGGATCTTCCTTGGACGGCCCTTCCTGTTTAGCAGCATGAAAGCCATCACTGTCGCGGGCGCCCCGGTCAAGACCCCTTCGGGTTTATCGAAGAATCGCTCCACCCTAGTCACTGACTGCGTGGAGGCAGCTCTTGAGATTATTGACCTATGCCGTTTGCTGCGGGATGAGCCTGGTCTCGCCCGCGCTTCCTTCACCGAGTTCAGTTCCTGCCGTGCGGCTCTTCTTGTCATTCTCGCTCAGAGCTTGACCAAACGCACAGAGCGATTGCGCGAGGCCCTCGATAAAGGCATGGCCCTCATCAAGATTATGTCGATGGGTGTCGGATCTGCCCGATCCGCTGTGAGTGTCATTGAAACACTTGAGCGGGCAATTCGCCGCTTTGAAGAGTACAGTCAGACGCAACCCCCAGGCACTGCTGACATGATGGAGTCGGCCTATGACCGCTTCAAGAACTGGGAAATGCTTTGGAAGACGGGACCAATCTCTCCTGACCCAATATCGTTCCCTGAGCAGTACCCGTCTGGTGGCGGTGGATTGCCGCCTGTTATGACGCCTTTGACGGGTCCACCAACAACGAACGAACCGGCAGAAGGGGAGCTTGCCAACGCGAGTATCCCTGACTCGACCGAGTTCTCTGTGTCTCATCCGCTGTCGGAGATGCCGCATTTCGGGCTGGATCATTTTGTTGCAAACCTGCCGCAGGAGTTGGGCGAATTCACCGCGATCCCGTGCTTTGATACCGACAACCAGTCCAGTTTGACCGGGGAGTTGAAATCCGGGTCTACCGACACGCGGTGGATGAATTTTATGAATGAATAGTGGTACCGACAACTGGCCGGTCTTTTTTGTGATTTTGACAGCGCTGCATTATTTGGGGTCCTTGCTTGGCGGTTGCACTGCCATGGATCTGTTTTAAGATACCTAGATCGTGTATATTCATTGGTTCCTCTAGACACTTCGTCGTCTACATAACATATATAAGAACGTCCATCCTAGATGGTTGTAAATGGCTACAATTCATGCTGAAATATATACATGCTAAGACTGGGAGATCTAATCGAACACGACCTTCTTACCCGCAAATGAAGCCGTAGCCTTCTGTTCCTTGGCCTTCTTTGCTGCCTCCCAGGATGGATGCAAGGGCTTATCATCCTGTGGCTTCGGGGGTCCTCGTTGAGGTCGACCACCATCGTGCTGCGGCCGGCCTGATGCGGAACCTGCGCCATGACCAAACCTCCCTCTGCCCATGGGAATAGAATTGCCGTCTGTCGCTCCCTTTCGCGGATCCCAGCCACCATCCCTCCCTTTCCTGCCTTTCTGTTGTTGTTGTTTGACATGGTTTGCTCCCGCACCGTACTTCTTCTCCCACAGCGCCCGACGCGCCTGTTGACCCATCCGATTCTTGCGTCGCGGTGGTTCAGCGGCTTCTTTGTCGACATCCTCGGCTTCAGACTCCGACCCTGACCAGTATCCGCCCATCATGAGCGAGGGCAAGAAGGTAGTGCTGGTTGCGGGCTTTGCGCTGCCTTTCTGGGCTGGCTTGGCCTTCTTCGAGGGGGGCGAATCGGATTCTTCTTCCTCGTCTACCTCCGGGGAGGGAGAGCGCGAGATTGACATATCAGAGGGGGCTCGTCGCTGTAACATGCGAGTATCAATGTCGTCCTCATCCTCGTCCTCGTCCTCGTCATCGTCATCGCCGACATCGCCGTCGCCAAGCATCTGCCGCCGGGTATTGTCCGCATCGTCCTCGTCTTCATCTTCAGAGCCCGACGCGAGTAACCCATCGTACATGGCGTAGTCAACGCTCTCCGAATCGTCCATACTGACATCTCCGTCGCCCTCCCCACTCGCGCGCCCCGCTCGTGGCCGGTCCTCCTCCGTCCCGCTATCCGACACCTCCTCCGCCGCAATCTTTTTCTTCGGCTTCTCATCCTTCTTGGTCTTCTTCTCAGCCGCCGCCTTCGACGGCGCAGGCTTCGTGTCATCGATCTTCAACAACGACCGGATCCCGTCCATAATGCCCGGGAACACATTCTTGACCGGCGTCGACTTGTACAGGCGGGCCGTGACATTCGCCTCGAAATTACTTTTCGGTCCCTCCGCCGACAACTTGCTGCCCATGTGTTCCTGGAACTCCTTGAAAGTCGGCGACTCGGCGATCCGTTTCGTTTTGAGGAGTTGTTTGTAGAGGTATTTCTGCGCGGTTTTGATCGGGTCCAAGTCCTATGCGTAAAAGTCCAACATTAGCATAACATCGCATACAGAGAAAAAAAGTTCATCCGGAACAAACGAATGAGTCCACAACAGAAACCAGGATCCCCCTCCCCAGCATGGAGAAATGGAAAAGACAATACAGGAAAGTACATACCCTCAAGATCCCCGCCTCCTCAGCCATCCTCTCCACCGCCCCCTCCTTCCCCTCATCCTTGACCTTCTTCTCCCGGCGCTTCCACTTCTGGCGCTCGAACCCGCGCGCCAGCTTCAGCGCTTTGGCCAGCGACTCGACCCCCTGGGAGAATTTCTGCTTGAGCCGGACGGTCTGGATGTGCAGGGAGCGGGGGTCGGATTTATCGGTGATGGCTTTTTGGGGCACATTGTCCGTCAAATCGGAGAGTTTGCGTTTCGGCATTTTCTTTGTGGGTGTTGGTATAGATTTGGTTGTTTGGTTCAAGATTAGGGAAGTCTTTTTTGGGGGGGGGGGGGATTTGCGGGATTGCGGGCTGGGGATAATTTACAATTCTGCCAAGGCGGAGGAATGGATTTTTGGGAACTTGGAAACGGTGAAGAAGGCGGAGCGGGATTTGGGGCGATGGGATTGGTGGATGGGGCGATGACTTTAGCGGGGCGGTTATTGGTGGGCTTTTTTGAGGTTTTTGATGCTCCTCCCGCGGCCGGCGCGCCGGCCGGAGGTCGCTCGGGGGTTGACGATGTTTGACATTGCATGGGTATTGGACCTATGTTGGTGTGTATTTGTCTCATAAATGTGGATGATAAGCCAAGTGTTCAGTCAATCACTTGTCAGGTTGGGGACTAGAGGTGACAGATTACAATGGCAGTATATATGGAAAGACGGTTATTCGAACTACATCAAACGGTGGTCGAACATCAACGTCACAAATAATTCAGACATAGACGCGATATGTACAGACAGAACAAATTAGAAAAGAAAAAACCATCTAAGCTAAGCCTCCTATTTCTTTTCCTCCTCCTTGGGGGGCTCCGGCTTGGGAGTAGGGAGTTTGAACTATGTGCATGTTAGTGGGTTCTCAACGCACTGGTGGGGGTTTGGGTTATAACTCATCAAACTTACCGACTCAGGAGTCCGGTTCGTACCCGGACCAACAGGCTCCCAGGCGGTGGTGCCGCCCTCGAAGTTCCGGAAGGCCTGTGTCAACTCGAGCGGCTCGATGACGATCCGCTTCTTCTCCTCGTCCCACCGCAGCTCCGTGTAGCCGGTCAAGGGGAAGTCCTTGCGCAGCGGGTGGCCGTCGAAGCCGTAGTCGGTCATGATGCGGCGGAGATCCGGGTGGCCGGTGAAGAAGACGCCGAACATGTCATACACCTCGCGCTCGTACCAGAGGGCGCCCTCGAACAGGCCCGTCACGCTGGGCACGGGGCTGGCCTCGTCGGCGTAGGTCTTGACGCGGATGCGCGAGTTATAGCGGACGCTGAGCATGTTGTAGACGACCTCGAAGCGCTGGTCACGGGTCGGGAAGTCGACACCCGTGATGTCGGAGATCTGGGTGTACTCGGCCGCCGTGTGGTATTTCAGGAAGGTCATCGTCGGGATCAGGCCCGAGGGCGGCACGTAGATGCACAGCTCGTCCTTCCACACCGAGAACTGCTGCACGTGCTTGGGCAGGCACGACATGATGTACTGCCCGTACTTGTGCAGGCCCTCCGCCTTGTCGTGGTGCTTGTCGGCCGGGTTGACGACGGGGGCGCGCAGAGCTCCCTCAGCTGGGTGTGGTAGATTCACAGGTTAGTTTGGGGGTGTGGTAACATGGAAAGTGCCCATTGTGAAATGGCGCGGTGGTCGCGGACGGAAGGGCCAGGAGTGCAATTGATGGACATACGAGAGCGCTGGGCGTGGCGCATGTTGGGGACATGATCGGTGACCGGGGTCGACGAGGCCTTCAACACAGTCGAGGAGAAAGCACGGACGGACGACCGGGTGGCGGAGGACAAGGCACGACCGGTGCCCAGCCGCATCAAGGAGCGAGTAGCAGCCATGATGACAAGGGACAATGGCTGAGAGGTGATGAGTTGGAGGATGAGAAGGAGCGGAGACGAGGGGGGTCAAGCAGCAGCAGCAGCAACGGCGGCGGAGGTTCCCTTGCAATTGGAGCTTTTGCCCCAAGATGTGCAAGGTCACGTGCCACGAGCATTGACATAAGCGGCCGATCCCGAGGAATTTCCCACAGCCTCAGGCACAAAAAGCCCTCCCTCCCAGCGCAGAGAATGCAAACACGGCAAACACGTGCAAACCCAAAGCTTCACTTCTCGCTATTCTCTGTTCGCCTCCAACTCTCCTCTTTCGCTCTTGCGTCGTGCGTCCCTCCTGCTGCTGCTGCTGCTGCTTCGCTTGCTTCTCCTTCCCTCCCTACACCCGCCCCAATTACCCCACGTTTCTGTAATCAACTTTCTTGGACTCGGTCCTGCCTTTTCTTAACCCTCTCTTTCCTCTTGGGCGCTCATTTACTTGCCTCTCTTGCTCCCTTTTCTCTTTGACACTCCATCCTCTCTTCCACTCCCCCTCCTCCCTCCCCTTCCGCCCCGGCTCGGTTGATGGGTGTTAGTTTTTGCTTGTGATCATCGTCCCCATTTCACTTGTACATCTCACAGTCTTTCTTCGACACTACATCATGTCAAGTCGTCAACAGATTGATTCCGTCATCGACGATGATGACGAGTTCTGGTACGTGTGGCCTTGCGCCGTTGGGTGCTCGAATTCCCAGGCTGACAACCTTGGTTTCTTCTAGCCCTCTCTGTATCGAAGAGTTCGATCTGTCGGATAAGAACTTCAAACCTTGTCCCTGTGGATATCAGGTACGTCTTTCGCTCTCTTACGTGTCCGCCCTTGCCGAGTCAACCAGATTCCTTCGCGTCTTGTTTCCCCGAACACCCGTCTCAAATCTAACCCGTATATTCGCAGATCTGTCAATTTTGTTACAACAACATCAAGACCCACAGTGAGGAAGGACGGTGCCCCAACTGCAGACGTGTCTACGATGAAAGTACCATCCAATACAAGGTTCCTGACGCCGACGAGTAAGTCGCTCCCGCCGCAAGTTGATTTGCACCAACCCTCGGTCCGGTCTTGGCATTAACCGTTTCTGTTCCGCAAATTTCTAGATTCAAGGCAGATCTCGCCCTCAAACATCGCAAAGCCGCCGCTGCGAAGAAGAAGGAGGCTGAGAAACGCGAGATTGAAGCCTCCAGTCGAAAGAACCTGGCTGGCGTCAGAGTCGTGCAGAAGAACCTCGTTTACGTGATCGGTCTCAACCCCACAATACGGGACGAGAGTCAGCTTCTGCAGACGCTGCGCGGCAGAGACTATTTCGGTCAATATGGTGATATCGAGAAGATCGTCGTCAGCAAGGCAAAGCCTGGTGGCAATCCGAACCAGGGCATTGGCGTTTACGTGACGTACGCGAGGAAGCAGGATGCCGCAACCTGCATAGCGGCGGTTGATGGGTCGGCTAATGGTGACCGCGTGTTACGGTAGGTCGATTCTTCGCGCTTCTGACCGGGCGCATTGCGACCGGCACTCGGGAAACTAACAGTTGTAGGGCGCAATACGGAACCACGAAGTATTGCTCGTCCTTCCTCCGCAACGAACCATGCCATAACCGAAACTGTACCTTCTTGCACGAAACTGGGGAGGACAGCGATAGCTACAGTCGCCAGGATCTTTCGTCCATGAATACCCTGTCGAGTCAACGGCCGAACGGAGCCCCTACTGCTCCCGCCTACGCTATCCCTCCGCACGTGACTCGAACCTCTGCTCAACCTTTATCGCAACCGATGCGTCGTCAACCTAGTCGCGATGATGCGGCCGGCAGTCGGGTTCCCGATGGCCCCGCTCTTCCCTCGTCGGCTAGTTGGGCAAACAAGGACGCTGTTCTGAGTCGTGCCAGACGGGCTAGTCTCACAGGCAGTCAAGCGTCACAGAGCCCTCGGCCTGCCACTGCTACGGTCGCGCCTGTCATGGAAGAACCGAAACCTGTCGAAAGGTCGCCGCCCTCTACGCAGCAGGAACCCGTTCAACAATCGCCCCCTCCTCCGGAACGTAGATCCTCGACTCCGCGTTCGCTTGAGCCTGTGCAGACGCCCCCACAGCCCGAGACTCCATTGCTGGATAACCTTGTTAAGGCCGTAAACTCACCCGACTTCAAGTTCATCTTCTCGGCGGCTGGTCTGCCTGCGGAAGAAATTGCCTTGATTGAGAATCACCCTTCTTTCATTGACCCGTATGGTGGCGTCAAACGTCGCGCCATGCGCGAAAAGGCCGAACAAGAGCGCGCCAGACGGGAACAAGAACTGCTACAGTCGGCGGCTGCCGAGGAAGAGAGTCGGGAGAGCGGAAGCTTGCAACTAGGTGGTGAGCCCGATGATGTTATGCCCCCTCGGGGTCGCAGCGGCCGCGAGTCTCACGGTGCTATTCAACCTCCCTCCCAGCAAGGCACAACCGAGAACTCCACCGTGGGCTCTCCTGTGTCTGCCTCAAGCCACCAGTTCCAACAACTCAATCAGCAACTCAACCTCGCCGGTCGCAGCTTGACTCCCCAACAACAGCAGCAGCTACTCATCCTGAAGTCTGCCAACGACCGCGCTGCCATGGACCAGCTTCAGGGCAGTCTTGGCTCCGCTGCTCTTGATCAAGCCGCCCAGGTCCGTCAGGGTCTTCTCCAGAGTCAGATGGCACAGTTGAATTCGCTTCAGGCTCAAAATCGCCAGAATTCCCGTTTCTCTTTCGCCAACGAAGTCAACTCGAAGAATCTTGCAAATGCCCGCATGCTGAGCCAGCAGGCATCGTTGATGCAGTCTGCCGGCACCCCGAATCCGCTCGCAGCGCCCAGTCCACAGCACGGACTCAGCGGTGGCTACTTTCCCAGTGGTGTACAGGGTCCACCCCCTGGCTTGAAGACGGCTGGTACGCCTCCGATCAGCGGCGGTGGTATGTTCGCCCAAGGACACGGTTTCACCACAAACACTAGTCTCGGACTTGGAGCCAGTATCGGCAAGCAAGAAGCGAACCCCGACTTGATGCGTGAGTTGCTGCGTGGCCGCAATGGTGCCGGTGCCAGTGGTTTGCAGGGTCAAGAGGCCGCTAAGCGTGAGTTCATCCTTCCTTTCCTTCAGCAGCACCAAACCCCCCCTCCCCTGACTCCTGCCAATAATGGCCTTCTCGGCTCTTTCTATGGCTCTCAGCCGGGGACATTCTCCGATTCTGGGCCACAGAAGCAGAAGAAGAAGGGGAAGAAGCACAGACACGCTAACACTTCCTCCGGTGGAGGTGGTGTAGTAGATCTTGCGGACCCGAGCATCCTACAGGCGAGGATGCATCAGAATGCTGCTGCTACTGCTGGGCAAGCACTGTACGGGAGTCAGGGCCAAGGTGGGTACAATCAGACCATGATGTATGGCGGCGGGTTCAACCGCTGGTGATTGTTTCCCTTCCCTTTCCATCATATCCATACGCCTTCATAATGCCCTAATTGCCTCGTCGTTCCCCCCCCCCCCCCTCTCCCTTCTCTTCCCGTTGCTCATGATGACTACCCTTTTTCTCTGCATGTACTTCGCTACCTCCCGTATGCCTTTTGCGCTTCTATCTCCTCCCCGTTTTCTTTTTGTTCTTGATGACATGATATCATACTTATCTAGATGGGTCTGGGATATGATCTCTTATCTTTCTCTTATTCCTCATTGCGATGTTGCCCTTTTCATTCGATGTTGAAAACTTTGCGACATATTCCACTTTGCAACGATGCATTAAGCAAACGGCTCTTGAAAAAACAAGGAATTCGGGCGGGGCGTGCCCTTGGCGTTATCTTTCATGGAATTCTTCGATTCTGCGTTGCTTTTATTTGACCTGTCTTGTCTCTGTCTTCCTCTTGCTTGTTGCTCTTGCTGTCCTCGATTCGCGCGTGCAGATCTGGCGTCCTTGCACCCCATGGGCCCCTTGTGTTTTCCAGGTCCACTGCAAGTTGGTGGCTATCGTTTACTCCTGTTGTTCTTGCATCCATGCTGCGTTGACCTATCAGCATCTTGGTGGCCCAATCGGTCTGGTCATGGTTTTCATGTACGTTAACCTCCCTGCCCTGGCTTTTCATAAACACAAGCAGGGTCCTCTATCCGAAACCAATTTCTCACAACCATTGTTCATTTAGACACTATGCCTTGTGTGTCTTCCTGGCCACATTGGTTGGGGACCTTTATGTAATTAATTGCCTGCCTGCCCCTTTCGTATCTGCGCGTCGTCTCGTTCTGTCTCGGGAGAGTCTTGTCGGCATGCCCTGCTTGTTTTTGTCTTGTTGCTTTTGCCGTTTGGATTTCGTCATTGTCTGCTCTTGTCACCTCTACATGACATCACACCCACCCATGCATCTCTCACCTGAAGATGGCTAACCGGGCTGCTTTCCTAGTTGACGAAGAATTCCCTCCTCTGGGGGCTCAGCCAAAGGACAAGCGTCCCGTTGACAGCTTCGGATATCTTGTCCGCTCTCAATTCGCCAGCGACTCGCAAAGCTCTGCTCGTGCTGGGACCCCGACGCTGCCCCCCGGCCTTCCTCTTCCACACGCCCACCCCGCATCAGCCTTGTTTCAGAGTCCATTGAATCCGTCCAGTCCAACGACTTCGGTGTCCGTGCCACCTGGCTTGAACCCACCGTTCTCTCGACTGGGGACCCCATCTCAAGCATTTCCCGGAGACATCTCCCGACAACCGTCGCCTGAGGTAAAGGATACTCCTGACGATGTGCCTGCTTCTAGTCGCGTGAAGAATGTGTCGGAGATCTCACTGGGCTCGCCTGTACCCAAATCCACAAGCAAAGCTCGCTCGCAGACCAAGGGTGACCTAGCCGTTTCAACTGAAAAGAAGCCCATCGGCGCGTCCAAGCATGCCTCTGCGAACGAGAAGGTTGTTTCCACCCCGGTGAAGTCGAAGCCCATCAGATTGGACCTGTCTCTTGGGACTCTTCAGGATGCTCCTAAAGCAGATCAATCAGCTCCGAGCACGCACGGGCAAGTCCCGATTTCCGCCATTGGCTCCCGTCCCAATACCCCGTTGACCGGTGTCTCACGGCTCTCTGATTCTTCTG